CGGCGATTTTCTAGATTGTTGGAAATTCGATTTTCTATAAACTGGAAAATCCCCACGGAATTCCCATATGTACTCTTTGAAATTCGCCGAGCATTTTCCATAAATAATTTCCAACCTTACAGTGTATAGATCATCCGGTCTTCTACATGCAAAGACAAAACATGGGAAAGACTGTAAGTCCAACAAAACAGGGGTATTCGCACCGCTTTATTGGTACCCTGCTATACATCAATGACCGTCAACTAGAGTCCTGCAGGTTAAACCTAACCTAACTTAACCTAACCTATAGGTTAGGTTAAGTTGTAGGTTACGCCATTCATAACCTATTTTTAACATAAACGAAAGAAACCGACTTTGAACGACCACATTAAGCGATCAACACTTTGAGTAGTAAAGCGTAGTTCGAGTGGAATTTTATCAATTGAAGATGAAGTTCAGACCGAGCTTCTCTAGTTTAAACTGAACTATTTTTAAGCTGAAAACTAGCACAATCAAAAAAGGAGGTACAGAGAAAAAACTTCCGTTTGCTAAAAATAGATGGCAAATACACAACAATAACAGAACTTTCGTAGCATCGAGAGCCTAAAGTAAAATTCTAGTCTACTCTTAAGAGGGTCTCCCTATTCAGAAAGCTATTTTTCAAAGATTGCATTAAAGAATAAAAGACTCAACAGATTCAGATATTCATGTAAAATGTCATGTATTTTGTATAAGCTTACCTTTCAGACGGTGTTTAGATAAAAAACAATAACGATCTGGAAGAAAGCCGAAGTTTAGGCTTCTGAAACCAGATTTTGGGAAGAAATTGCAAAAGGTTGTATTAGATTAACCTAGGTTAGGTTACGAAAAACATTAATAGGTTAGGTTAGGTTAGGTTTAGGTTGTCCAAAAGTCGTAACCTGCAGGACTCTACCATCAACAGCCATGTTTTCTGTTTTTTGAGGTTTTAGTGAAAAACCACTGTCTCCTTAAATTGCTATGGCATTATGTGAAAATGTACATCTTAGTTACCCGCATGGTCCATTCTAAACTTGATTCTTATCTCAAATCTTATTCGAGGTCAGGTAGCACAATGGTAGTGCATTGGTCTAATAAGCCAAAGGTTGTGGGTTCGAGCCCCATCTTGACCATCAGTTTTTGCTTTCAGTTTTTTTCTCTCGGCTTCCGGAAAATTTTTTGAATATCTTAATTACATGTGTGTGAATGCTCCCAGGTGGAGAACATAACTGACATTTAAGGGCCCTACTCAGGAAAAGACTTTTTTTATTGTACATCCGATTTCGATGGCGCTTTCAGTGACTAATGCGTATTGTCCTACTAGCTTATGGTAAGAATTCGAGATCGAAACGTTGAAGTACTACCGATTTATTGTGTGATAAGGGGCAAAATGTGGCTCTCAGCAAGAACGTAAAGACTTTTTTGTTGGAAGGTGCAGAAAGCTGCGAGTGGCCTCAAATGAAAGTAGACACCTAAATCTAAGATTTGATCCGCGGCGATTTTTGAATTTCGTTTCCGTTTATTCCCTACACGTATTTTAAGTTAGATCTCTGAAAATAACCCTAATTCGGCGGGGTATTTGCCACTTATCTCTGCACTGAAAACAAAAATTAAAAATCGCCGCGGACCAAACTTTAGATAAATGTCTTAGCTTTTAAATAAGAAAATAATGAAGGTTTTACGACGAATCGTCTGGGAGGAGACACAACTTTGCTTCGCAAAAACCATATCAGAGGTGCAACCGGTATCAGTATCGGCGCCGGTCCAGTACCAGTACGAATTATAACGCCGATCGGTATACCGGCATTAGTATGAAGTATGATCAGTCGGCCGATATTGTTGGTATTTTGCGGTATAAATACGATTTTTTTCGGAAAACATCGTGTAAATTCAGTTCAACTGTGACATATTTCTTCTACTAAAACTTCATTCCAATTACTTAAGCTTTGTCGGCTTATATAAACTTCCTAATTTAAAAGATTGAATTGAATTGCTGTATTCGCAAAAAATCGCGTGGAAAATCAGCTATACATAATCAAGGTGAAAAGATTAATCTATCCCCCCCACACATAAAATAAAGTTCACAGTAAAGAAAAACAAGGAAAACGTATTTGTATTTAGGCAAAATATGATTAAGACAAGCCGGTACCGGTACGAAGTTTGTATACCGGTATCGCATTTTTGATACCGTTTACACCCCTGAACCATATTCTAAGCAATAGCGTCATCACTTTATTAATTATAGTTTAGCGTCTTTAGCAAAACTAGTATAACTCTGCAGGACGAAGTCGTACAAACCTGCTAGACATCTTATTCTGATCAGAATACTCTGCTCAACATAGCTCCATGTCTATTAAAACGGACAACCTAAAAAGTTTTAATTAAAATGCGAAATTTAGAAAAAGGTAATTTTAGGGCTTTCAGAAATCTTTTTCAAAAATCTCCAAAACCATTGAATTTTTGGTAAACTGAGACGGATTCTGACAGATGACACTTTGGGATATGAACTGTATGGTTATTTCAGTTTCGAAGATTTAGAAGAAAACATCGAATTCCTTAGGGGGGAGCTCCCTTAATAAGCCATTTTAAATGTATACAAAACAAAAACTGGCTTTTAACATCCAAATAACTGTTAAAAAACTGCCAGGTAACAGTTAGTTTATTGTCTGTTATGTGATTGTTGATAAAGGCTCGATAAAAGGTATTTAACATACCACAAAATGTTGAATAAAAGCCAGTTAACGGTCACGGTTTACTGTAAATTTTTTGGCTGTTATATTAAGTACATGTGTCCAAATAAAAACAGTAGAAAAAAATTCGGTTGTCGAGACATAATCGATCATGTGCAGATATAGAGAAGGAAAACACATTTGGAATGATGTAAACAATAAATAAAGAATAAATAAATTATCGTACATAACAGCAAGTATGACGGCTGCAAAAGCCAAAAATCAGTCGTTTAATGAAATAATGGATATTATCAAAATCCGATCCGTTTGTAATTCGGAAATGGCACCTTGCTAATAGATTTTGACGTTGATTTTGTACCACGAGCGCATGAGAAACAAATCGAACAGTTTCGCCTTCCTAAGAGAACCATGAAATTACTCTTTATGAGCTTTTCAGACTATTTTAGATTTGTACTTTTTTCGATCTTCATCCTACGTCGCTAGTGGTATCTACTTCTTTTCAAAAAATGACAACTCACCTATTTTATGCAGGATTGCAAAACAATTCAAATTGGGATAGAGCAGATCATAGATGTAACCGGTGTAAAACTTTTGGGCCGACAACAGGTACCGGTCTCAACATATGCGACCAGATCGATTCAGTCTAGAGGAGCCGATCCACCGGTAGACCGATCGGTTTACGTCTTTCTCCTCGATCAAACCGCACCCGGAACAGCCGATCGTCAGTCCATACCGGGACCAATTACAACTATGGAGCAAACTGTACCGCTGTACCAAATTTCTACAACATATTTCTTCTCGTATCACCAGTTTAACCAAACTCTTGTAGTTTTTTTCTAAATGAATTGTTCTCGTATATTACAGTAACCGATAAAACTACTTTTCATGATTAAAGCGCTATGATATTTGTTATTCTTTCAATAGTTAAGGCTTAATCTGGAGAATTTTTCGAGCCATAAACACTTCTGACAATTAGTCTAAATTTTTTATATTTATTTTTTGAATATGTTATTACATTAATAATAAGAGATATAGACCGTCCTCGAAGCGGAATAAAATACGATAAATTTATAAAATTCATAAGAAGTGCTTGATTATATAATAATATCTACATCGGTTAATGTTTAGCATTTTTATTGTCAACCACTTTTGTGGTACTAGCGATACCTTCTGCTTTTGCTTGTGTTGTTATAACGGTCGTTGTTGTCGACTGTAACCGTCTTGCTGTATCATCATGACCCAATTGTGCCACTTGATCAGTGATTGTCTCAACTTTAGCATTAACCGCTTGTTGAGCTTCTTTCAATACGTTAATTTTCATTCGATTTGCTTCATCATTTAAATCGTCAATACGTTTTCGTGCTTGTTCTAATATGTGTTCTTGTTCAGTATTCAAATCTTTTTCTAATTGTGCCAATGTTTTCGCTTTGTCTTGATCTAATTGATCAACGTAATGTTGCAATTTTATCTTGTAATCTTGTTCAACTGTTGCATGACGTTTATTAGCGTCGAGTAAGAGATTTTCTTGTAATAATTGTGTTTCATTAACAATTTTTACTATAGATGCTTGAACAGCATCGCTTATTTCATCGGTACGACGTTTCGAATAATCATCGATTTGAGAATGAGTAGAACCTGAACAGAAGAAAATTTGCAATAAAGTAGTAAGAAAAAAGGCATCAGTCATATTTTCTGTTTACACATTTACCAAGTTTTTTCATTAATTCATTGATTTTAGCCGAGTTCTCCATGTTAACGGTGGATAATGTTTCCGTAGTAACAACGGATCGTACTCTGACATCATCACTAACAGCTGTATGGACAGCGGCAGATTGAACCCCGGTTGTTGCTTCAACGGCTGTACCTGTTGACTTCGACATTGCTGTATAGGATTTAGATAACAGTGTAAAATGTTTCACTGAAATATATGAAAGAAGATGTCATTTCAGATAGATTAACGTATATAGCGTTGCAAAAAGGCATGATAAATGCCCTTAAGACAAAGATGCGGTGTTGGTCGTAAGTAGTCATATACTCAATGGATCAAACTGATTGTTACCCTTTTTTCTAAACAACATGATCTGGCAGGACCGATTCTTCAACAAAGTGGTACAACTTCTCTCTAGTATATTCAGCTCAAGACAATAAACATTCAAGTTTAACTACTCCTTGGTTCAAAATGACAATAGTAAAGTCGTGATCTTTTAAAGATCGATCAAAAGTATTCATTCGTTCGGTCAATAGAATTTTATTTTCTTACTATGTATTTGAATTGTTTTGAGGAGAATCTGAACATTTAGGTAATATAGACTTTCAATATCTTTAATCTTTTAATGTAAAACTTGGTCTGTAGTATGTGATATACAGATTTCTCAAAAAGTGAGGTGTTTTCTAATTTCTTATTTGAACGAACAGGAAAAAAACGGCATAACGGGTGTTACAAAAGTTCCTGGAAATATGTCACTTCATTTTTCTTCTGCTAAAACATGTTTTGGAAAAATGAAAAATAGCTATTCAGAATCTACATTTCAAGAGATTTCTAACTGTGTGTTCAAAAAAATTTCTATCATTTGTGACCTTTGAGCAGTAAGCGCATCTTTGATTGAGACAAAAAACTAGTCCGTAAAAAACGTATGTTGCAAAAGTTCTTGTGCAAATGTCATTTCATTTTTCTTATGCTAAAAATATTTTAGAAAAAAAAAACAAGTTTCTCGAAATCTACATTTGTATGAACTTCCTCAGCTACTGTTCGAAAACTTTTCCGTTTTTGACCTATGAGCACAAAGTGAATCTTTCAAACACACCAACGTTTGGTCTAGAAAGAGGAATACATGAAATTTTTCCAAGTCTAAAATTCAATGCCGTTGAGTAGAATTATTTTAACAATGTAAGCTATTAGAGCAGACTTTTCTCTGCAAAATGACGTGCTCAAATAGGATATAGGACAAAAGGTTTAGAAGTTATCGTTATTTTTCGAACATTAGCTTTTACGTCATAAAAAACACGATGTTTCAAAAAATGATGACTTTGTATAACTTAAAAGATGCTCAGATTTCAATACGCAAAATAATTTTGGAGTGTCTATTTTGTAGAGAAAAGTTTACTCACGTTTGATCTCTCATTTTAATGCTGTTACTGTTGAAATCAAGAAGATATACAAGTTTCTTTTCTTTACAGACTACATGTTAGTGCCCTTTAAAGATGCACTTACTGTTCGAAGGTCACAAGTGATAGAAAGTTTTTTGAACACATAGTCAGAAAGCTCTTGAAATGTGGATTCTGAATAGCTATTTTTCATTTTTTCAAAACATGTTTTAGTAGAAGAAAAATGAAGAGACATTTTTTCAGGAACTTTTGCAACACTCATTATAACACAAGTATCGTAACTAAAATATGAAGTTATTAATTTGACCATCGAATATTTAATAAGTTGAATCTTTTTTATTAGTTATAATTTTCCCAGTCTTATTCATCGTTTTGTAAGACGCAGTTGAAAAGACAAGTGCACTAAAGAGGATTTGCAGCATTTTGTTGCAATGGCAGCATCCACCGATTCATGAAGAGGGCCATAACAAGTGTAATGCATGACAGAATGTATGACTACTTTTGTGGTCAACACTGTATATAGTAGCAAACATGAGTTTATAAAATTTAAAACAGTACTTTTGTTCGATTTAATTTGTATTAATTATTTAAAAAATCAACAAAAATATTATACAGCCGCAATTAAAAATATCTGATCATTCAAATGTTTTCATATGTTCCACCACTTTTTAACAGAAAAATCAAGAATTATTTTTAATAAATAAAAATTTATTTAGTCGAAATGCAAGTAAAATCATTCACGTTATTTTGAAAGTATACGTTTAACATAACATTGAATTAGCCAAAGACAAATTATATAAAGATTTCTACTTTTACTCTGAAAGAAGTTGAAATTCAAACAAAACAGATTCATTGTAGACGTCTGACTTCTAATAAATACTCTGAAACACATATTGATGAAGCAGAATAGAACCCTCTGGCAATATCTGTCAACAAAACAACATACTTACCTCTAAAAGATATATATCTTTTCCCCACTTAAGTTGAAAACAAGAATAGAGCACTCTGTAGTATGTGTTGAAAATAATTTTGTATTTGTTAGAAAAAAAGAAAAATGATGAATAGAAAAACCACTGCACAGATATATATATATATGTAAACGCAATTTTCTTTTTCTCTTCCGTTTTTTCTAAGTTGAAAAAGAGAAAAATGAATATAACATTTGAAAAAAACATTGTTCCCATCTCCACTAAAAATGAACATGAGACTATCCGACGTTGACTATATGATACATAGGTTTTTTGGTTAGTAGTCACCATTAAAATAATGAAAGCATCACACGATCTATTTTGGTCATGCAAAAAAGAACGACGGTTCTAAGGTTAATACTAACCAGACAAAATGGAAGAAAAAAAAATGTTTAGTAAGAAAATTTTTTATTGCTGGAGACGAAAGACCAACAACGAAAAAAGAAAAAAAAATTGAAGAACGTTCAGAATAAGGAGAGAGTCATATTAGATAAACATCTGGATATTGAGTAGATTATTTGTATTCATATAGAATGACGAATAGACTTATAGCCACCATGATAGAACTTCTCTTCTTCGAAAGTTAAAAATATAACTGAACTCTCGCTAAACATTATTCAGTATGCTAATGCAATTTCAGATCTATAGAGGGAGTATATAACTCATGCTGAACGTTATATTTTATGATTTTTTTTTGAGATTTTGATTAAATAATTGCTGACGAGAGAATCTCCCGAGATGCCCACTTCCAATTCATGGATCGATAGACCTCAGTGAGGTAGTAAATACCCTAAAAGGATTCGGGCCCATGACTCTTGAAGACCCGGTTTTCTGCAAAATCAGTTTTTTAGAAACTCTAAAAAATAACCAAAACCTTTTCTTAATGAGGCATGATTGTGGCCTGCAAATTTCTGATTAAAATGGGACGTCTCCCAGGTCTACACGCCCTTTCTTTACAAAGTTATAGAATTTACAAGAAAAGCCCTAAATGTTCATTATCAGCTCAAAGCTATAGAAATAAGAAATTAATTTCGGGCTCTTCTTATAAATTCTATAACTTTGCAATGAAAGGTCATGTAGAGCTGGGAGATGTTTCATTTTAATCAGAAAATTTGCGGGCTACAATTAATTATGCTTCATTAAGAATAGTTTTGGTTATTTTTTAGAGTTCTTGAAAAACTGGTTTTACAGAAAGCGGGCCTTCAAGAGTCATGGGCCCGAATCCTTTTAGAATATTTACTACCACACTGAGGTCTATCGATCCATATACAAAGCATTTGAATTGGAAGGGGGCATCTCGGGAGGTTCTCTCGTGAGTTTTAAAGTATGATCTTTTTTTTAAATATATTTTCTTGTGGAAGTGAACCACGTCAGTATAAAGAAGATACACTATTGTATGGTATAGTTCACAGTAGTCATATTTTACTAACTTGCTTGCGATACTAGAAGCACAACAGGTATTCATTTCCAGGACCATTGTGCGTTGTTGAACGTTTTTAATCATCATCTTCCACATTTACTATTTTATCTGCTGGTTATTTTTTTATGCACAGCTCAACAAATTACCGATACCAACGGTGAGATATAATAAAAGTTAGTCAAATACAATGAAAATGAAATAGTTAATTGATATTCTATGATCTGAGACGAATTCGTCACCGCTGTTTACAGATGAATATTTTATTCTAATATACCGAATTTCGATACTATAACTAGTTTCAAATCATCACTTTCTATTATATGATACAAAAACACTGACAATGCCGTGATTCATGCTACGTACTATCCACTTTCAAAAAACCGGAACAGGAGAGGATTTTTTTCCTTAGAAAAACAGGAAAGTCAATAAATTTTTTCAGAAATACAGGAAATAAGCGAATGTAGAAAAACGACAGATGGGATTTATCACAATGTGTTAAATAATGTATTGCTACACATAAACTAAAAATTCCCTTGATCTTATTTAAAAAATGTTATACAGCATTAAAACATAGTCATAGATAATCGAATATCAAGCTTATGTCTCTTTTTAATTATCCGTCCAGTATTTTTATTGTTGTTTTCGTTCATCTTTCTCTTTTTCAATACGTACAACAACTAGAGGTGGATAGGACTAGTCTTTTTTAGTCCCGGTACCGTAGTTAATTGTTTGATTCCGATGAAAAATTTGGCCATAGAACACGAAAAGATGTTCCACCGCTGGGGGAATGTTCAATGCGGCTTTTGCGGAATTTGATTCTACAACGAAAGTTTTACTTTTACGGAATCAGTTTTTTGGTCCCTGGTCCCGACCCACCCATGTCTAATATCATACTTCATTTTACTTTTTCTTTACTCTACATTTCTTCTTTGTCTTTCATTTTTTTACTTCTTTCGTTTAGCATTTCGACATGAGTGTGTAGAATTTATACAGTCAGTCTTTATGAGGATATTCTGATCTTTGGTGTAAACGTCATTTCTGTTAGTCTGCTCTTCTCTAGTTTGACTGAATAAAATGAAAACATTTGTCTAACTGGCTGGCTGGAATTACGTAAGAAGCAAAGACTTTCTAACAGATCTTATCACAGTCTACAGTAAGACTGCAAAAAGAATTCAAAATACAGAAAAAACAGGATGTTCTCATAAAACAGGAAATACAGGACTAATACGAAACCTGCGTGATTCCATGCAAGCTGATCGTTCTGACCATAACTCCTTTGCATGTGCTTAGCTCTACAATACAACTATACAATACGATACATGCTCCTTATTTTGAATACATGAGTCAGCAAACCAGATGAGAGGAAGTTGTCCTTAATTCTGGAGTC